AAGAAACGAGTCTGGATAAGAATAGCACGCTCACCATCACGCTGCACCCGAACGAGTCAAATGTGAGAGATCAGATCGCGAATAGAACAAATAGGGTGCGGGTGAAGCACAAACAAAGTCAAATAATGGGAGTGATGTGTAAATATCCAAATGGGGTGGATCATCGAACGTGTATGTTTGTATGAGGCGAATGCTGTTGAGCGAAAGAAATTGTGAAATTCACGAAATTGAGTCAAATTTGGTTTTTCTGGGTTTTTACATGGAGGACTTTCACAGATCGATTAATACATTGCTCGACAAAAGCCCTCCTCGCGCCATTAGCTCAAAAGGAAATTCGGGCGAGCGACAGTTCTCACCTTGACTATCTAACCCCTACGATTGTGGTTCTGGTGTGCCTCTCGTCGTTCTCTCCGTCTCCGGCATCTCAAAAGATTAACCACAAGCTGTTCCTCATGACTCACAGTGGCTCTCACGCTGACCCAGAGGATTCCTCAACTGTAGATCTTTCCGGTCTGCCCCAACCCTTCTCCCTCCAGGTAGCAGATCCAGTGGGACATGAACACGACTCACTCAAATGGAATGGCAAGTTGCCAAAGTCGTTGCACTAGTCCGTGATTTGGCCACAGAAGTATCACGTCGTTCAGCGTCAGTGCGAGATCTGGAGCTTCATTTGCAACTGGAATCAGGGGTCTGCTTTTCAGCATTCGCTCTACCTCGGTAAGTGCTGTATCCAAAGTTTCATCGTCGATGACCTGTTGATTGCATACTGCCAATAGTATCCTGCTCATCAATCTTATCATACTTTCCCACATCCCACGCCGATGGCTGGCGTACGGCGCGTTGAAGTGCTGACGAATACCTTAGGAGGTCGATCGCTTGTGTAGTTCACTCTGAACAACTCGGGATAACCACCTTTGCAGCTCGTTGGATGCAACCACGAAGTTGGAACAGTTGTCGGAGTAGATGTTGGTCGGTACCCCGCATCTGCTGATCAGCCTTTGGAGCTCAGTTATGAAACATTCAGTCGACATGTTAGTTTCCAGCTACCGCATTCTGCAGACGACAAAACATACGTCTGCCAATCTTCCCTTTTATTCAGGTCCCATAATGTGTTATCCAACCAAACCTTTTCAATAGATGATTAGTGCTGGCATGCCCGTTTTGTACGAAAAGGTAGCGTATGAGCAAAAGGATGAAATGGTTGCCGGCAGGCAGGATGATCGGATGTTTAGTTTTGAATGTCGAGGAAGAGTTGTCTAATCTCCAACGCATAGCAACCCTTCGACCAGTATGGGGCTTAGTCTACGCATAGAGCTTCGTTGAACCGCAGTTTTATTTGTTTTTTTTCGTGTACTCTCTTTCAACGCTGTTGTTTCTAGGGGTAAGTTCTGTTGTTGTACTAGTTTTGCGATATCGTTCTCGGATCTCATTAGATTGTCCGTCGACAAGGGTACCACACTCGGTGAGTCGACGGGTCGAGACCCGGTCATGATCATCACCATGTGTTTAAACCTCGTACACCAAGCGACTGAACGAATCAGTTTGTCTCAGAACGAGAAGTACTCCAGTTTCCCCAACACGAGGGACGGGACAACGCGCTCCGCCGTCGTGCTTACTCCCTTGACTTCTATCAACTCAGCGGGTGCGGGTGGTGAAAGCAATTGATTCTCGTCCTTTGATGCAGCGGTCAGAAATGCCGGACCATGGAGCCAATCGAGTAGTTTCTTTACTGATTTCATGCTCCGGGAGCAGTGGTCAGTTGAGTTGTCTGGAGATTTGGCGTATCGCACTCTGGTCTCTTCGTGCACTAGCGTCAGTCGATTAGAAACGAAGGTGCTGAATATAGTACTGACATTGTTCACTTTGTACATCACAATGGCAGAGTCGGTCCAGAACGTGACACGTTCTTTAAATATCCTGAAGCACTGTCGCAGCTGCTTTGGTATACTTACACCTAGCAATGCTGCTATCAGTTCGAGGCGGGGGATCGATAGGCATTTCAATGTGGTAACCCGTGCCTTGGCGAATAGTAATTCTGTATTGCGCTCACTTTTCACGTGTAGCCAGCATACATAAGCTACTACCCGTGTCCCGTTTCGGACGCGTCGGAGAATAAGTGCAGTTCGGCCTTTGTCGCTTGATTGCTTTGACTGAGTTCACGTAAGATCCGTATTTTACCTAGTCTGGCCAGGCTTGTTAACCATTTTTCACAATCTGCCCGGTTCTGCTCGTCCAAGGGTTGATTCAACTAGACATAGTTGTTCTAGGAGGATCTTCCCCGATAACAGCCAAGGCTCGACGAATCCAAGCGGGTCGTATTAACTAGAGAGCGAAGATAGCAGCCCTCGCCGGGTGAGGTTCTTCTCGGGTAGCCGAAGTTAAAAGATAAACTCGTCTGACTCTGCGCTCCATCGTACCACCAAGGCCGGCTCAACAGGATGTGGCTGTGTGGTCAGGTTGAGAGCCCCATTTGCTCTGTTGGCCGTTGTCTAAAAGTACACACAAATTAAACAACCACTTGGATAGGCCGAACTCTCCCTTTTATAGTGATTTGTTTAGCTGCACTACGTGTTGCAAAGCTTGTTTTGCGTCGTCGAAAGCACTCAGGAAGTCGTTGACTCTAACTGATACCGAGACGGGAAAATAGTAGTCGCAGCGCGTCGCGATGATCTTCTGGTATCTTATCTTCCAGGAACATTTATTGTATGCCGGCGGCCATTGCAACTACTCCTAGCCGGAATCGGTTAATTATGTCGATCAATGGAAATCAATCTGGTCCCTGTAACAGGCAGTCATTAAAAGAGAGACTGCCATATCGCGCCGCACAAACAAATACCACGCGTATCTTCCCTGGCTTTAAGGGGTTTCTTACGAGATGGTGTGGTAATTACCACAGTCGATCCCCGCGTAGGGTTGACGCATCTTCTTGTTGTATTCATCCAAACTGCTCGTTTCCTAGCATTGCTGAGGTGTACTGAAACATTGTTCTGCGTTCCAGACTAGTCGCCTCTTTAGGTACTTCAGTCTTTTCAAGGCTATCCCATGGTTGTTCGGCAATCGGGCATATTCCGTCCGACATGGCAACGGCACCTCAAAACCGTCGGGCAGACAGCGTGTCCTCTTTTACCTATTGCTACAGCCTGAGTATCTACTACAGAGAGGCCCCCTTTCTAGTCGCTCAAATTCTCAAACTCTTTGTTAAATATCCGTTTTAGGATTTGTTTGATCGTATGGTCACCAGCGGTGGTGGTGAAGTTAATGGATAGTGGCTTCCGTTTGGCCGCGCGATGTGGCCCAGTAAAGCAGATAAAGCACGCTGGCTGCTTCCCAACGGTCCGAAAACCCAAGCTGCACGAATTTCTCACATAATGAAAAAGCATGATTCGGAAGACACGTAAGGCATCTGGGTCAGCCAGCAGGGATCGGACTATCGATTCTAGGTTATGTAGAGCATTAAAATCTATTTTGAGTGTGGGCGATGAAACAGTTTTACATCTTCATCACTAGTCTTACTAACGATTCGGGTTCGTTTTTGGCTTTACGGGCCTCAGCCAGCACCCGTCTATGAGCTTCCGAGCCACGTGAAACGGTTGAGCGAAAATTTCCTTTAAAATATATTTTTCTCGGCTATACCCTAGCTCGTTTGGTAACATCACACATTCTTCGATGGTGTCCCGGGATTTCCCGCGGTAATAGTGCTTTAAATAAATGAACTTCTGCCATGGATCTGCGACCTAGCATTATGCGAACCTATCAAACTCTCTGATAAATCTCCAGTAGCTGCCGGGATTTCCGTCGAATGGTGTCAAATCCATCTTGGGTAGGTCTTTAACCGGTAGATGGTAGATTTCTTTGATCGGTGGAAGTTGGGTTACTTCCGGCATGAGTCTGAAGGGTAAGGTCTCCTATGCGGTCGCGGCGTGCTTAGTCGAGCTGGGTTGACTAGCTTCAGCTTCATTAAGCTTCATTGCCCCAATATCTTGCTCTAATTCAACAATCTTACGCAGATAAACATAAAAAATCTTACCATTTACATGACAGTCTTAGCTACATAGAATCCTAGCATTAACGTGGCTGAAAGAACTAGACAAGGGAGAATTTAAAATCCTGTAAAGGCAATCCGAATAACGTTCAATACGAATCTCAATGCCTCGACTTCGATTGCCCAAACTTCCAGCACGTAGGAAAACAGTTGAATGACAGTTGAAATTTTTTTTCTATCATAGGCATACATCAATACTCATTTGCAACTTACGAAACCGTCGTAGGTTCCGGTTACAAAACGATAAACAATAGAGAAAATCACGGAACAAACCCAAAGGTACCGAGCGGGTAATTATCAGGCCGGTTAAAACAACTGTTGGACGCTGAATTCACAAAAGAATAGAAGAGATCAGAAAAAGAAAATAACGGAATCAGAAAAACAGTTTACAAAAGCTAATGATAAACCGTCACATCGCCCGCCAAAGGTGCAGCAATTTCGTGTCCTTTCCTGCATAGACTTTGAACGGGAAGATGATTCTAGTGGTCATTTGAATAAGTGATTTAGAATACCGCGTGGCGTTATTTGTTTTTCGGACGCTGATGGCATCGTTGCTATTACATCATAGGCTAAATGACCAGACCATCGATCCTGACGACACTATCGGAGACAGGATGAGAATACGTCGGTTTGCGTAAGAATCTACCCAAGTCGGTTAAATGCTCCGACCGACCAGGGTGTCGAAGATTCGGGCACTGTCGCTCGTCAGACGTGGACGTTTTCCAGGAGATAAATTATCGTCATATGAAAATCGATTAAGTATATCTGTCGATGAAGCTAGGTATTGGTGAATCCGGTTTTTCTGGTTGTAGCTAGTCAACAATCGGCGACCACAACATATAGCGTTGATAGTAATCTGTGGTGAGTGCAACTGTGACGTTGACTGTAGCTAAATACTGATTGGATGTCGATGAGGCACGATTATCCGTTTCGAGAGTGATACTGCAAATAACCTTGAAATGCACCTCATGTTCACTTGCATTGATAGCACCCTAATGTCTAAGAATACGACTAGTACACTCGTGGCAAGTAAGTTAACCATGAGTATACATGTCTCCCGGAGGTGTAGCTCCCATTCATTGACGGTAAGAGTGATGATAAAATTTAAGAGGAAGCATAAAACATAACATAAGAATAAATGATTGATGACCGCAATCCGTAGGCGAACGTCTGAGTAACGATTGAAAAGATGACTGCTCAAGGGTTATTGTTTAGTTATTGTTAGATAGTAATTTCATATGAACGACCAGAAAACTCTTCGACTTTGTAAGGTTTTTTCGGAAAAATGCAGCGACTTGTAAGTCGGCATTGTGAATAACGTCAGGAATATGTGGGATCCGGTAATCAAGTTGGGATAGCTTGAGTGCTAATGAACCCAACTGTTCATTAGTCGAATATGGAGCCGAGTGCTCCGAGTTGTTTAGGTTGTCAATGAACCCAAATGCTTATTAGCCGATAAATTCAATTGTGGTCCATTCCTTGCCCTGTCATTTAACTTCAAATTAACCACTGCTGATTGCGTTCGTAAATTCGGTGTTTCTTGTTAAAGCATTAAATCATCACAATTGTGATCAAATGTTTTCAGTCAACATGAAAAACCGAACACTCAGGATGATTTGAGTGTTTTTAGATTGTCAAGAGGGTGAGATTACAGAAAGTGTCCGTTTTTGAAGTACCGA